TAGTTTCAACCAGTTTGCCGGGTACTGAAGTTAGGCTTACTGAACTGTAATTGCCAGGATAGCCACTGGAACCTTTTTAAAAAATTGGTATCATATATATCTTTCATCCAGTCATCTGTTAAATGAGCTGATTTGAATGACAGGTTACATAATTTCATATTTGAGTTCCTTCAGAAATCTTGGGTGAATGCCATCTTGTCCTGATGACTTATTACTGTTTAATTTATCAATTTGTGCCAAAACAACCTCTATTGACACCTCAGTCCAGGACAGTTCCTCAGATTTGTCACCTAAAAAGAATGGTCAGGTGTGGGAACCTCCCTCACATCTCTGCAGTCTCAAAGGAAAGGTCTTCCACAGTATTTTGGTGCTCAATGCAGGACAACTGCAATGGAAATTAAACAAGCTGCAGAGTCAGCTGCATCTGAGGATGCTTTAATAAAGTTCTTGCTAAGACCTCACCCTCAGCTGTGATAGCCTGGAACTGTTCAGGATGTTCCACAGAAAGGTGTTAAATAAAGCTGTTGAAATCCATATAGTTGGTGTGGTTATACTTTACAATCACAGCTCAGTGGTTCACTATCTTAAAATTGTAGGGCTGCAGATGAGTAACTCTGATGGCCAAACAGGTTGAGGTATTTTTGCTCCGGATCATATTTTATAGATTTAGTTTGGTTTTGTCTGCCAGGTTCATTGACGGCTTTGACAACCAAGGAGTTGGGTGAAGGCTGCAGAAATAAAAATTCAGATTTATTGGCAGAAATTTAATCCTTTTTTGTAGTTTTTACATGTAGGTGGTACCGTTGCCAAGGTTTGCCAGATTGTCTTGAAGAGTTTTGGTAAAGCATCATTTACTGGTAAAGTCCCTCAAGGTGAGGCTGTCAAATTCAGAATGTCTAAAACTTATGCCGTAACTCTTGGAGCTCCTCTAACGGTATCTGTGGCAAGTCAGCAATTTGTTTCATCCGCTCTTGAAGCTGTTTAAAAAATTGTCAGCCAAATAAGGTGGGGGAGGCATCATGGCCTCATCTGGAGAAGAGTTGATATTTGTTTGTGGAGTGACCTTTCTTGTCTGCTCATGCCTTTCTCAACAAAATTTCTCCTTCAATTGAGCTTGTTGAGGAAGAGGAGATGGAGCAAGAGACCATCTCCCCTGGTGGTCACCAAAAGGAAAACTTGGGACTCTTGAAAACTGTTTTCAATAGGTGGCCCAAGGGTCCCAGTGTGGCCACAGAGGGGAGCCATAAGGCACAGGAGATGGCAGCCAATGCTGCTCATACCAAAAAGAAGGCACATGGGTTGTCTTGTCTCTAGGGCCTCTCTTTCCACAAAGGTGTCAGGGAGGTGGTTCCTATGTTGGCAGGTAGGGGAACATTGCTCAGAAATTTGGGAATCTGAAGAGAGGGAATCTCAACATCATCGAGAGGAGGAGGTCTGCCTAGCTCGGAAAGTACTGGAGAAGCAGATGGTACTGTAGAAAGATCCAATCCCAGTGACCCTGTCAATCTCAGTACCAACATGCACTTGGCACCTATTAAGTGGAAGACTTCAGCTTGTCTGAGACCAACAAGTCTCTTGAATATCTAAACTTCTGCAGTACCAGGTGGATTTGCATAGAGAATGAATGAGTTTTCACTAGAGTGGAGCTTGCTTTAAGAGGTCCCACCTCGTGGAAGCTGTCATTACAGAAGTTGTCAAGTGCTTTGGAGGTACTGAAGCAGCATGAGATGTCTGGTTAAACTTCGTCAGTCCCGAATGAGTCTGGGTCACTTGTCTAGCTACCGAGAGTAGCACAGAAAGCTCTGTCAATGCAGCCTTTCTGAAAGCCAAATGTTTAAAATCTCTGCTGATGCAGTTATGCTTAGGTAGTACCGAGGTATGCTTGGTACCATAGCTCTTTGAAGAGCTCGGAGTACTTAGGAGCCTGGAACCTAAGCAGTACCCAGTCTAGGACATGAGATCTCTGATTTGATTTCTGAGGACACAGAGGCTTTTTTGAAACAGACTTTTTATGAGGAGAACTCTAACTTCTCTTCTTGGGGCCCTTCCTAGTACCCTCTGATGTCTTTTGCCATGAAACTCTGGATGAACGAGATGTGAAAGTTAATGCTGTACTATACTTGCTCAGAGACTGATGTACGGGGCAGGTATCTTGGCCTGGATCCATAGCAAAGGAAGTGTTCCATCATAAGGGGTCTGAGACTAATTTCCCTATATTTTTCTAGCTATGCTTTTAAAAGTTGAACAAATATTGCACTTTTGTGGGATATGCATGTCCCCTAGACAACAAATGCACTGGAAATGAGTGACCACCACTGATCGGGATAGATTCCTAGCAGGTGAGGCAGTGCTTGAATCCTAGAGACCCTGCCATACCCTAGTTACAATTGCCAAGGGGAAACTCGCAGGTAGGGAGGAGGGGAAGAGAAGGGATCAGGATTGGAAAAATAACCCTCAAATGAAGTAAAGAAATTAGAATATAATACTTAAAGTAGAAATCAATAACCACACTAAACTAAACACTAGAGGATGCTAAAGCTAAGCTTTGGGCAAAGCAGTGGGCATGGCAGACCCTTCATTTCAGGGAGAGGCAGCTGAGAAGGAACTGGGAGTGGTTTGCTCCCGTAACTCTATATAGCCTCAATATGGGGTTTGACGATGTCTGCAGCATATGTGAGGGCCAAACAAATACTGCTGCTGAAAATCTCTGATCAAAGGCACATGGGCCACCGGAAGTGGAGCGTGCACAGGGTCAGTACCTGAAGGATAAATGGTGTTATTTTTAAATGTCCTGGATTTTTTCCCCATTTTTAAGGCAGATTTTAAAAAGCTCTTTTAAATACTCAGCTACAGTGGATATTGAAGGCTTCAGAATATTCTGCTACAATGTCTGTCACCAATATTCAGACATGAATAAATGGATTTACTTACTTAACCCGAGATAGTGTGTACTATGCACCTAGGAGACTGGATTGTGCTATCAAAAAAAAATACATTCACAGTGGACATATAAGCAGCTAATTAGGTGGATAAACTCCTGTATACCCACCCAATGGAAGAATAACATGGGACTCGGTCATCACATCAGTTGTATCTTTACATGTGATGGAACAAATAGACCCCAGACCCTATCAGGGTCTATTTGTTCCAGTTGGATATCTGTCCAGTTGGATGTCTGCCCATATTGTATGCTCTTTTGCATTCACTATTTTTTAACACTTAAGGATTTTGCATCTAGATTTGTAGTTCAAATCCAGACAGATATCCAGGCAGAGAAGGCTTAATTCAAGTCTAACTATACTCAGAGAATGTTGCAAGATGAACTTTTTTGTAAAAAAACATTTTTCCTAGAGAATATTGTCTTTTTAGTCATGTTCTGGCATATACTGAGCAAATGAAGATGGATTCAGACAGTTTAGAAACTTCAGGAGGGATGAATACATCTAGGGACAGATTTTTAAAGGCCCTTTGGGGGAATTTTCAAAAGTGCAGTGAACCCCAGACCCCTACTTATCATTTCTCCATCCATGGCTTAAAAAGGAATAGAACACATGCTGCTTGGGGGTGAGAACAGGGTGTCCTTGTAGGGATCTCTGAGGCTTTTCAGGTAAGGGGACAGAAAGAAACCTGAATTGGGAAGGAAGAGTTCAAGGCCTCCCTCTCCATTTAATCTCTGTTCCACCCCATTCACAAATCTAACTATACTTACTACAGTACCTTGTTATCGCCACATGCTGTGCCATCTATCACTGAGCCAACATCCACCATGTCCCTCCCAGCATGAAATTCTGTACCCCAACACAAGATATCATCAACTGGAGTTTGAACTATGGACCCAAGACTTTTCATTTGAGGTATTTTTTTAACATTAACACACTGCAGTCTTCCACACAAGACATCTCTGAAAGAAAAAAATAACAAGAACAGTTGCTTAAAGGTTTATATGAGATTTGAAGTACTCTGTGTGAGAGTTGTGGTGCGTGATGGTATTGGTGAGGCCTCGCCTAGAGTATGTGTCCAGTTTTGGAAGCCACACTTTAAAAAAGATGTAGACAAATTGGAGAGTTCAGAGGAGAGCAACAAAAAGGATGAAAGGTTTTTAAAAAGCTGACCTATGAAGGATAGGTTAAAATAACTGGGTATGTTTAGCGCTAAGCAAAGAAAGCTGCAGGGAGGGGAGGGAAAAGGGGGACCTGGAAACTGTCTTCCACAATGTTAAGGGCTGTTATACACGTAGAACAGTTATCACTGTCCTCCATGTCCACTGCAAGATAGGACCAGAAGTAATGGGCTTAATTTGCAGCGAGAGAGATTTAGGTCAGCTATTAGGAAAAACTATAAATAGGGTCGTATCAAATTTATGGTCCATTTTGGTCAATTTCAAAGTCATAGGATTTTAAAAATAGTAAATTTCATGATTTCAGCTATTTAAATCTAAAATTTTACTGTTTTGTTGTAGGGGTCCTGACCAAAAAAGGACTTGTGGGGGTGGGGGGTTACAAGGTTATTTGTAGGGAGGGTTGCAGTATTGCTAGCCTTATATCTGCGCTGCTAGAGGTGGCGGTGTTGCCTTCAAAGCTGGGAAGCTGGAGAGTTGTGGCTTCTGGCCGGGAGCCTAGCTTTGAAGCCAGAGCTGTCTCCAGCAGCACTGCGGAAGTAAGGATGGCATGGCTTGTTATTGCCACTCTTACTTCTGCATTGCTGCTTGCAGAGCCAGGCCCTCAGTCAGCAACTGCCAGTCTCCGACCACCCAGCTCTGAAAGCAGCAGAGCAGAATTAAGGGTGGCATGATATAGTATTGCCACCTGCACTCTAGCGCTGCTGCTAGCAGGGCATCACCTTCAGAGCTGGTTACACAGCAAACAGCCACTGCTCTCTGGCCACCCAGCTCTGAAGGCAGCACAGAAGTAAGGGTGGCAATACCACAACCCCCCTAAAATAATCTTGATACCCCTGTACATCTCCCTATTGGGTCAGGACTCCCAACTTGAGAAACGCTGGTCTCCCCAATGAAATCTGTATAATATAGGGTAAAATCACAAAGAAGACCAGATTTCACGGTCTGTGATGCATTTTTCATGGCTGTGAATTTGGTAGGGCCCTAACTATAAAGGTAGTCTAGCACTGGGACAGGCTTCCAAGGGAGGTTGTAGATTCCCTGTCACTGAAGGCTTTTAAGAACCAGTTACATAAACACCTATCAGGGATGGTCTAGGTTTAGTTGGCCCTGCATCAACATGGGTGGGTTCCATGCCAACATTTCAATGATTCTATGTGATCTTTTTGGACTATGTGGCCAGTTGGGGAATCAGAGGTTAAAGGTGTGGTAAGAGGAAGCAGAAGGGGTGGAAGCAAGTTTTCAGGGGAAAAAGGAAGGGGTTTGAAGAGTCATTTAAGAAATAGAGCCTACAGTCTTAGGACAGTCTTAGTTGGACAGCAGCCAACTTCTCCTGCAATCCTGACCCTGCTTGCTACAAACCAGCACTTCAGCCCTTTCTGCTCCTCATAGCTCAGAGAAGGTGCAGTGTAGGAGGTCATTCATCTTTACTGTTGTCAAGAAGAGGAGGATGAGGAGTTGGTTGTTGCAGCAGCACCATCTGCCTGGTGATTGTATTAACCATTGGTCACAACCCCCAAAGGAAAGACTTGCAGGTGCAAAACTCAGTCAGACCTACTGAGGAATCATGGTTGATTCACCATGCCCAAGACCTGGTTGAAGAGTGGGAGAATCTCAAGCAAGGAGAATGTGCTCAGAGACACCAGAGAGGGGTCTGTGGTGGAGATACTTCAATACCAAAACAAAAATGAGTATTAAATTATTCTTACAATATAAATTAATTACAAACTTATTCACATCTTTCCTGAATATTAAGATATATATACAAGTCTGTTGTAACCAGGATGCTTAATGAATAGAACAATACATATTATGTTTTTAGTTAGTTACGTTATGAGGTACTCAAACTAATCAAAGGAATTCCAAGAGGCTTCTGCTTTCTGTCATCCTGAGGTTAAGTCCCCCAGTGTCAAGGGAGATAAGACCATATTTATGACTCCCAAGAGGGTATATACAAACTCAGTAAAGCCCCGTTTTGAATTTTATTTTGCTTTAACTTTCTATGCCAATTTCTTACTTTTTTTTTGGTTATAGATGTAAACATGGTTGTAGTGATGGGTGCTTTCTATATAATATTTGATAGGAATTTTAATTCTGAAAACAGCAACTGGTAAACACCATTTGGTGTAAAAAGCAACTAAGTAAAAAGAATGTCTTATCAACACCAGGACACATCAGCCTGATATAAGATTACCAGATTGGTACAGATTGGTATAGATATACATCCTTATCTCAAGAAAACAAACACTGTAAAGAAGATATTTTAGGAAAACTTGGTCATGTAACAGAATGTGATGATGTTCTTTATTCAGGATATTTCATAGAGGAATGTGGGGATGTGTTCTCTAAGCATAAAGTGAATCCTTCCCTTCTCTTTTTTTTTCCAAAGAAAAGCCTTTAAAAAACATGTATAGTTAGAAAAGTTATAAACCTTTTGTTTATTTCTTACAAACAGCTTTCTGAAATGTGTGCTTGTATATATGTTACCTAAATGCACAGCTTCTAATATAATTTTCTAATATCATTGCTATGTCAATGGTAAAATGTTGTATGTACCAGTATGGAATCTAATAATATAAACTACTAAACTGATTAATAATACAAGAAGGCATTTAAAGTATAGAATATTTATATTAA